TGGTTATCTGGGGGAAAAGAATTAAACAAATTGTGAAAGTGTCATAATAATGAACAAGGACTACTAGATCGGTAATAAGTCTGCAGTTTCCATATTCTTGCTTTTTCCTTGCTGGGAATGATCTCATGCTGTAGGACTTACCTGTCAGAATAGCACTTGGCCTCACAGGCCTGGAACCAGGAGGACTGGTGAATAGTCCTTTTGGTACCCTAGTGCTCTTTTCTTTTCAGCTTAAGTACTGAGTATGTGCTGTGTGACATCTTGCACAGAGCTTGAGCTCTCTGTTTAGCAGCGCTGCATCTGAAGTATGGCTTGACCACTGCCTAGCTGTGTGATCCTGGCAAATTACTTTTATCTTCCTGAGCCTGTTTCCTAACCTGAAAATGCAGATGATAGCACCACCTTGCAGAGTTCCCTTGAGAATTATGTGCATAATGCATAAAAGTGACTGAATTATAGCACCTCAATAAAAGTTCCTTTTCCTCTTAAGAGGATTCAGACTAAAGATATATTCCAGTTAAAGATTATTCTATTGTGTCTGTCTCAACACCAGCAACAGAACCTTTTTCCTTTTCAGGGGAGAAGGAAGAGTCACTTTTACTCTCCTATATGTAACTGATGAAATCAGATAGTGCAATAATTCCCAGAGAACAAAAGCTTCATACAGATCTACCCCATTCTGCTATACCAAGAGGTACAATCACTGTCTGCCATACAGCAGTTGTGACAGGGTTGTCATGACCTGCCTGTGCGTAAATTTGGTTGTAACTCTTAATATTATCACTGCTTTAATTTAATTATGTGCATTGTTGGGTCTGCACATGTTGTTTAATTGCCGTTTAAATGTCTTCAAAATTGCACTATGATTCAGCATTGAAATGTAAAGTCACTGTGAATGCTGAAAGGCGCCAGAGCAGAGAAGCAGAGTATATACATTTGCTGTTAGTGAAGCAGATATTCCCATTTATATTTTCTAGAACAGCAACAAATAAGTTCTTTCTTGGACCTAAACAGGAAGATCACTTCTAGTAGATGGATTTTTGTTTTGTTTTGTAACTGAGGTACCCTTGGAAAAACATGGACGTTTATGCCTCTGAGTTAGAAAAGGATTCAGATGAGTTGGATTCTGAATATGAAGAAGTTTTTTTGGAAATAGCTTACCCAATTTATTTTGCTGTGCTTTATTTTTAATATATGCCCAAGAGTGATAAAACATTTTTAAAAATTTGTCCAAGTGATCAGAAAGTCATGAACCATTGTTTCCTTGATAGTTTTTCCATTCTTGATGGTACATTAGAAAGGAAAGGCACCCTCCCTGAAGAAAGTAAAAAGCAACCCTCCTGAACTAAGTAGAGTATCCAGGTGACAAGAGTCTTCTTGGGAGTCAGAATTCCATGTGTAGAGATGACATGTGCATGTAAGCACCTCCCATTCATCCTGGCATCTTGACCATTCTTGCTAGCAGTTTGGCAGATATTCTAGAGTGGGTATCCTACAGAACCAGGTCTGGAACAAGAAACCATTCTTTGGGTAATAGGAGAATGGGTCCAATGGTGCCAGCCATGCCAGGAGCTCAGAGAGAACCCTACCATGTGCTGCTCCTGTACCGGGTACCTCAGAGGTTGTCTCTAATCTCTACAACAATCCTGAAAGATTCCACTAGGCTAGGTACTGCCTTTTTGGGAAACGTTTGCTAGGATATAACAAAAGATAAGAAACAGTCCTGTCCTTTAATTTTTAGTAATTCAGTGTCTAGGAATTTGTGCACTTGAAGGTGTTCATTTTTATCACAGTGTAACTTTAATAGTGAAAAGTTGGAAGCAGCTTAATGTCTACTCGAGGGATCGCATTTGATAAATTACAGTACATCCATACTTGGTGGAATGTTATAGTCTTTAATAATCACAAAGATTATGGAACAATCTGGGAAATGTTCATGTAGCCAATGAGAAAATAATACAATGTATGCACTTTATAATTTCAAAGATAGAAAGCTGTTTATTTGAGCCAGTAGTATTAGAAAGGAATCCAAAAGAAAAAGTAATTGTGTTAGGATAACATAATCATGGGTAGGTGTTTTTCTCCCCAGATATTTATTTTAAAAATAAAAAGACAAAGAAGAGGTTTCCAAGAAACTGAGTGAATAGCTACAATCATTTATTGAGGTATATCGAGAATAGGAATTGATTTGAGAGCATCCTAGAATTACCCAATTGCACAAGTACCACATTGAGATGTTCAGGAAATTCTGGATTTCATCTTCTTCCCTCTCACCACTTTGAATTCATAATTATGTATTTGCAGAGCAAACATGCAGTAGATTCAGGGGAGTATCTGAGGCTTTCTAAGTAAATGATGACAGTGTAAAAGGTATTTGTCCAAATTTGCATTCATACAAAACATGGAACTGCTATGATTTTAGAATAAATGTGTTTTAAATATTTTCTAAATACAGAGCTGTTGCAGTTCTAACAATACTTGGCTAAGAAAACTACATTTCTACAATAGGCCATAATTACTCTTTGGAAAATTATTGGGCTTTAAAAAATTCCTATCTAAAGATACTTGAAGAATGAGTTCCATTTTGCACTTTCTTACATCTTCAGTCTCTTCTGTGAGGCCCCTTTTTCCTTTCAGGGTATCATTGGTTTTTATTGTAGGACAAAAGGGCATGGCATTAAAATCTACATACGTAAGATCCTGTGATTAAGTTATACAGAGGGCTTTTGCTATATATACTTATTTTCAGCCATTTGAATGTCTTTTTCTGTATATTAACTCATTTGTTGGAATTTCAGTTCTACAGTTCTGGCTAAAACTCATGATCATTGGTCAATTGCATGATTAAATGTAGGAGATGGGAGAGGTGATAAGATTTACTTAAATATTATGGATTTGAGCTTTCTCCCTTCTATGTGTTAGGCTGTGCTTCTGGTCACATTAATAAGTGGCCGTTTTTCTGGAATTTGTACTCTTCCTGCTTCCTTTCATTACATTAGGCAAGGTTCCACTAGATGAGACATTTGCAGTCTTAAGACTTCCTGCCAGGGTTCAGACTTTGTATTTTTGACATTGAAGCTGTCATGTTCCTGAAGCTACTTAATTAGAAACACATTCATTTCAGTGTACACTGGAAAAAGCTTGGACAGCAGAGCCAGGCACACTGGGAAGTTTGAGCATTTGTGTAGCTGGCAGCTAAACTAATGGTTTACAGTTTAAGGGGGAAAAAAATCACAGGGCATTTCCTTGCCCCTAGAAGCGAAGAGAAGCTGACTGCGCACAGCAGATACCTTTTAAAAAAAAAAAAAAAAAAGGAGAAAAGAAGAGGAAGAAAGAAAAGACAACTCCACTTTCACTGCAGTTGTGTGTATAGTTCTTTCTTAAGCTATTATCAAATACAAAAATCTTCTAGAATAGTTAGCAAACTGAGCTGCTAATATTCAAGTCTGTTTTACATGTTCCCAAGAGATATTATATTACTGCTGAGATCTGTGGTAAGCAGGACATTTTATATTCTGGGGGAAGGAAGGATTTTTGCCCGAATTTTATTTGTTGAATGGTAATGAAGGAATTGTGCCCTTTCTTATTTTTAAATGTTTGAGCAATTTAAAAATGTACATGTGATGTTTAGAAACCTTCCTTGCCTATCCATTGCTTTCAGGATAAAGCCTGAACTCCTTAGTATACAGTTGAAAGCAAATCTCTCCTATCTCATTACCCACCACTCCAGCCTTGTCCCCAAAGAGTCTTCCTTGTCCAACTGCCTCTACTCTACCAGCTTCCCCAGAAGAAAAGTGTCTGGTCACCCCAGTCTGAGTCAGATATCTTTTCTCTAGGTTCACAAAATACCATCTGCACATTTCATAGGATATATCCCCTACTGGAGAGACAGATGGAAAAGTTGCCAGTCACACCCTTCCTTGCTATTCTTTGACCTCCCTCCCCTAACCCAAAGGAAAACATTACATGGGAAGTGAGCTTGGGGATTTCATATCACTAAGTCAGTGTGGCACAAGAGAAGGAATGTATACTTCGGAGTCAGATCCCAGGTCTACCACTGACTTTGTTCTGTAGTATTTGGTAAGTGATGTAACCTCTTTAGGCCTAGTCCCTTCTCTGTAAAATGGGTATTGTATCTACCTTGCGTGGTGGAAGAATTTAAAGTTCCTCATATAACGTCTAGCACATTTTTTATTGGTAGGTAACATTAATGATAACATGTATACACACACACACACACTTTCTCTCTCTCTCTCTCTCTCTCTCACCCCTAAAACCAAGACAGGACCAGTGTATCCAAAATGCCCAGGTTTTAAACCCACTGGAGTTGAGTTATTATGCTTTTGCTCAGTCACTGACTTAGGGAACCCGTGGCTCTGTGAATGAAGCAGTTGGCAGAGGCTTTCTGAATTATAGTGTCATGGGATGGCATGTGTACAACTGGGAGGAGATGCTTGCTGGCAGCTTTCCAAGTACTTTGTCCAATCAGAATGGACAGTTAGATCACATCTTGATGACAGCGGAAGCAGCAAATAGAAAATACTCTTCTTTGAAACATTATGCCCTTCATTCAACCTTAACTGCATTTTCTGTTGTAATCATGGCAATAATCGTTCCCATTTGTATTAGAACTCTGCTGATCACTTAACATATATTTTCTTTGATTCTAATAACAACATGCTGGCTCAAATCCAGGATTCCATTTTAAAGATAAGGCAACTGAGGCTGTGCGGTTGCAGAGCTGCTCTTTGGGGGCTAATCCCAAGGTTGGTGCTCTTCCTGCTACCCATGCTGTCTCCAATGCTGCCCACGTTTCGAAATTCTTCTGAAGTTTCTAGGCTTGGGAACAAAATGTCATATTAGGATTTTTGTTGTGAAAGGAAATGTAACTATGCGTACGTTTATTAAAACAGTTTTTCTCCAAATAGTGAACCATCTGTAATTTTCTGTCAGAAGCAACAGACATTAAAGCAGCTGTGTGTCTCTGTTTCTCTTCACAGTGCTCCCATGCCCTACCTCATAGGAATCCATTTAAGTTTAATGGAGGTAAGTTGGCTTCTTTCCTCCCCAGTTGGCTCTACCTGGGGCTTTGTTTCATTGTGTGGCGGTGGAGAGACCAGTCTCAGGAATCACAGCTCTGCACATGGGGGCATGCTGACGCAGCACCTCTCAGGTGCACAGAGCTGGGCATTTAGCTTGGACACTTTTTACTGGGCTCTGTGTCCAGGGTTTTCCCACTTTGCCCAGAGACTGTGGATTTTCATGGGTTGAGGGAGTAAGAGTCAAGGAGGCAGGAGGAAAGGGTTCTTTAAGGGTTTGAATGAGGGAAGGAAAATGATTTGCATTTCAAAATGTTTATTCTAATCACTATAGCAATATTGCATTCTTCACGGCAGTAAATGTGATATAAAATGTATATAGAATCATGAGGAAGGAAATTAAAATTATCCGTGATACCATTATTCCAGATTGAACCATTGTTAGCATCTTACTAGTCTTTATTCCCTAAATATTTGTTTTGTATAAATATGCAAAATTGATATGCTTTATAATTTTATGACTTTAATTTTAATTTCCATGGCTTGGGAATTTCTACATGTTTTTTTCTACTCTCAGTAATAATTTTTAATTTACTACCTATCATTCCCACTATTTGGATATACCACAACTTAACCATTTTCCTACTGTTGGACGCTGAGGTTGTTTATAATTTTTCACTATTATAAATAGCATTTCAGTGAACATCTTTATGCATAAGGCTTTATCTGCATTTTGCCTCATTTCCTTAGCGTAGAACCCCTAAAGTAGAAATGCTTGGTCAAAGCTATCCATCGGATGCCAGATTGCTTTCTGTATGGCTGTACCAATTAGATAGCACTTCTTTAAAGGACTTTTCTGTGCTTTTGTAAGTGTCATTAGTTTGCAGACAAGTACCCCTAAGCCCTTTCCTCCTCAGGAGAGAGCTTTAATTTGTGCTAGAGCAAAATGAGGCATGGGGAGGGGGCTTGCCTGTGTTGCACAGGAGATAAGCTCTCAGAGGGAAAATCTACAGCCATGTCCGTCTGCGGTGGTGCTTTGCATGTCTTGAAGGAAGTGCTACTTCTCTTCTTCTGTTCCCTTCATTTCACGTCGACGAGGACCACCTGCTTCACTAACTGTTGCACACTGTGCTATTGTGCTTACGAAAATGAAAGAAGTTGGTTATCGAAAAACCTGTTTGTTTGACATTGAGAATCTTGATCAAAATAGACCACAGAAATCTGCTCAAATTTCTAATTTGACAGGCCGGCCATGTGGCTCCTACATTCTGTTAACAGTTCCTCCTTGTCATCACCCAGCCCTAAGCACATACAGTACACAGTTTATGGACTATCTGGGATGATGTATTTAGATCAGATTGAAGAGATTTCTTCTGTGTTTTACCTTTGTTTGTCAAGTTTGGGGGGGGTCTATTCAAAGCTTCCGTATGAAAAATTGAAATTCAAAGTGAATGCTTTCCAATGAACTGTTAGTGCCAATTGCTGTAGAGTTTGAAACACTAATATAACGACTATTTGGTCTATCAGAGTCCACAGTTCCCTCCCGCCTGCCTCTCCTCCTGCCTTCCAGACTGCTCCAGCACAGGCTTTTTCAGACTCCTTTTTATGTCCCAACGCCTCAGCATTCTCCAAGTTTCTAGTTGTGTCTTTCTTTTCTTTACTACATGCCCTCTAGTCACCTTCTTTAAGGCCTTTTGCTTCTGCTACCTGGTCAGTGTCAATGACTCAGCTGGGATTGCAGCGCTGGTCTGCCTCTCTCTGAACTTCAGGTCCAAAGTTTGAAGTGCCAATTGGATTTCACCTGGATGTACTGCAGATGTCTCCCCCAAACAATTTATTACACACACACACACACTCTCTCTCTCTCTCTCTCTCTCTCTCTCTCTCTATCTATCTGTCTCTAAGCCACTCTACTCCCCTTCCTGTGTTCCTGGTCCCTGTGAATGGTACCAGTGCCTTCAACAACAACAAAGAGGGACACACTGATCATGGGTGACATGGCTGAATGCTATTCTTCCTTGTTCTCTCTAAATACAAAGCTCTGAAATGTCTCTCTCCCTGTTCTTTCCTTACTGCCTTCATTGACACTTTGCTTTCTTGGATTCTTGCAAAAGCCTTATTCATTTGATAAACAACGTGAGGGCCTCTTATGTTCCAAGCATTTTGCTAGGTCCTGGAGGTATGAAGAATAGAAAGCTCAGTGCATAGTCATAATGTTGCATGGGTTGCCCTCCAGCTGGTCACTGGATAACCATGGGCCACATAACGCTTGGGAAGGAGCCTTCCAGCCTCCCCTACACGTCCCTGGGTTCTGCGCAGTCTTTCCACTGCTGTCAAGCCTTCTGCTCGATCACTGTCCCATGTTAGCCCATGCTCTTGCTAATCTCTAAACATATCCACATTCCCACCCCTCTGCATGCATCAGCCCTGCCCTTCTCCACCATTCCAAGAAGCCCTCCTGTTTTGTTGTCTCCTCTCACTTATAGTGTCTCTTGCTCTGAATAATAGCTGTTTGCTTCCTTGTCCCTCTCCATCATCCCCAGGAGCATGAGTTCTTTGGGAACAAGGACTGTGCATCATTCATTCACTGTGGCGTCCTCTGCACCTAGCTGGATGCCACACAGGTGGTATTCTCTGAGCACATGCTTTCTGAAAAGAAGTGCTGAGTGAATGCTTGGAAAGCTGTGATCTGGAGCACGTTTAGAAGCCCACTAATAGGCATCACTGTTTTCAGGCAACCCAATGCCATAATTTTACTTATAGGTGCGGGAAGTAAATTTTTTACTTTTTATATAATTGTAAGTAATTTTAAATAAGGCCTTTTGTAGTAAAACATGCAGTGTAAAATATGCATACATTTTGCAGCTGAAACTTGAGACAGAGTTTTGCACTTACATGAATGGGTGCAGGTCTCTTCTGCTGAGCCTTTGAAGGGCGTTAAGGGAGAAGGCTCAGGAAGCACTGGCCAAGATAGATCTTAGCCCCATTGATTGACAGGGGAGGATTTTGCTGTGCTGAACTCCTGTGTAGTCAACACAAAAATAAAAACAAAAATGGGAGTTTCCCCACTCTTGAAACCAGCCAAGACACTTTCTGAACAAAGAAGTGTTTCCTGGGTGTGTAGGGCAGCCGTGAACTACCAAATTTTAGAATTCAGTCTCCTGACCTTCTCTCTTGAATTTCAGCTGAGATTCCCAGTGCCCTAGTTGTGCTTTCTGATTGGGTTTATCTAGTTCAGTTGTACCCTTCAGGTGTAAGGGATGCTTCGCTTTCAGTTTCCTGCAGGAACCTCCAGCTCAGACCTGGGGCCAAAGGAAAGCTCTTTAAGGAAGGTACTCAGGAAGGTCTATCTCTTCTTGCTACACTAGTTTTCTTACTGGCAATTCAGCAAAAGGCTTATTTTTGACTGTCTTGTTATTTTTTTCTTGAAAGCTATAGGCACCTTATTATGCCTTTGCATATGTGCCAGAATTTTTTAAACTTCAAATGAATGTGGCAGATGTTCATAAAAGTTTAGAAAAAGCTACCATAGGAAGACTTTTTAACCATTTTTATGACACTCAAATTTGTTGCACAAAAAGAAATATAAATTACAAACTTGCATTCTTATTTTTAAAAAGGTTATTTTGGGGAAAGACCTAATTCTGGTTCACGCTCTTGCAGGATGCCATAAGGTAACCTAGTCACCTTACAGAGTCCACCTTCCTCCCAAAGTGACAAGTGTATACCTGATCACCATTCTTCTCTCTCCTTCTGCCTGTTTATAGTCTCCCTCTCATGTAAGCAATCTGAGGCTAGTGGCATGTTAGCAGAATAGCCAAGGGTATTGGCATAGACCTAGTTTCTTCTTGGAGAGAATGATCGTGTTAGCTGGCAGCTAGGAAATCCCAAAACACGGCCAGATTCCACAGTGACTGTCCTTTCATTCAAGCGATCTCAATTTAGCTCAAGAGACATTTATGCAGCCCCTCTTCTGTGCCATCTCTGGTAGCAGGTGCCAGGTCATGTCTGGTTGATGGTGCTTCTCCTGTTTGATAATTAAAGACCTTCCTCCCCAAACCTCACAAACAATGCTTTGTGTACAGACCTCAGAGTGACATGAGGGATGTATCCAGAAGGTAATTTCTATCATTCTCCGTGGTCGGATGGTCAGGAATGAGAAGGGAAAGGTGACATCAGTGACATTTCCAGACAGAGGCTAGGGTGGCTTATAAATGAAGCTCCACCCATGCACAGGGGCAGTGAAGTAGACAGAATGTGGCACCCCTACTTCCTGCTCACGTGATCATGGGTAAGGTAAGTGACCTTTGAGTCTCTGTTTTTTCACCTGTAAACTGAGGATAATGGCTGTGTGTCCCTTATGGGATCATTGGAGGATCCAGGGAGATAATGCCTATCAGCTGCCCAGCATAGTACCTGCACATAAAGAGCTCAACAAAGGTCAGCAATCCTTGCTGGTTTTACTTCTTCGGTGGCCTTCAAGCCATTTCCATTGTTAAGCTGATGGCTTTGAAACTGTGTTTTAGGAGCTCTTGGGTTCCCAGGATCATCATCCTTATATCCTAGGAAAAGACAGTTTCAACACAGTTGGTTTGTGCCTGCCTCATTTTCTCCTGGTCTGCAATGCAGAGGCATGTACCAGGCTTGGGAGTGACACTTCTGTAGAATTTGACAAATGTACTTCCACACCCCTACTTGACCACTTCCCTGCTGTGCTAACTCCAGCCATGATACTTCGCCTTTCTGTATCTTACTTCCTCCCTCTCTGAGAGCGGAGTCCTGTATATGGACAGCATATCCCAGTGTCTGGCATTTGGTAGGGACACAGTATACATTCCTTTCCACAACAGAGTTCTGAGAGCCTTCTGTGAACCCAGGCACTGTGTTTATACTAGGAACTCTGTATAAAAATGGTGAATGTGATATAATCTCCACCTTCACAGGGTTTTGTCTAGACCAGATGCAGAAAAATATAATGCAATTGTCGTGAATTTGGGATGCTGTAAG